GCAAAATCAAAAAGTGAATGAAAAAAAAAGTGTCGAATTTCGGCAACTGGGCGATACTACATAGTTATAAAAAATGAACGGTATTTTTAGCCACTTGCAACTTGCACCCTATCTAATTATATTTTAGTGGGCTATAAATTTGAATATCTATCACCGGATGTTGTAATCCGAAAGTTCGTAGTTATGAATTCGTTGCTCCGTTACAAAAATTCGAAATTTGGTATGCTATAATCCGATCGTAACTACCAACAGCGTTGCCAACTGAAATAGGGAAATTCGAAGTTCTTAATCAGCTGCTTTGGCAGAAACCAATCAAAATAAATATAATCGCAAGTGAGTAGTGAAATAAAAAAAATAAGTTTAATCATTTTTTGAAAAGACTTTTCCTTAATTAAGTAGAATAGTAAGGATTCAATGGCCGGTGCACTTTTGTCCCAGGAGGAAGAACAGCTAACTGTTGCATCAACATACAAAGGAGATTGCTAGGAGATTGTTCTGATCCATTTAGCTTAAATGATAAAAAGTAAGCTCCCTCTTTTAAAGGGCCTCTATTTCACTAGATATTGTGCCGCTTTAATTCGTGGAACGCTTTTCCAAAACTCTACCATATCCTCTTTAGCTCCTTTTACAAAGCCTCGACCAATGTCCGGCCTTTCGTTCATGCATTCCACCAGTTTTTCGCATTGCGACCGATTTGTTGTGATCTTCGATCTGTTAATTTTGTAAATATTTATTAATATGTTTTTTTTTCTATTTATTCACACTTCAACTTACATACATATTTTTGCGTTTACATACTTTATTTTATTGATATTTTAAAACAATTTGTTTCGCTCCGACACGAGTTGCTATTCGTACAAAATTTCCGACAAATACGATACGACAACGCGGATTTCAGCATACCAATTTTACGATTCGTGGCAAAATCGAATCTACGACGGATTACAGCATAGGGGTGTATAACTTTTCTAAAAATTCTGAATAAATAGTTTGAAATTTCTGTGAATATTTTTGAATTTTAATAATTGTTGTGCACAGTTATAAATCCGAATTTATATGCAGATTGTTATATCTAAAATGAGCTAAACTTTTATAAACAAAAATATTAAATATTAAATAAACAAAAGAATTATGTATAGTCAAAACTGGTCAACATAAGGCGTTTCTATTATTGACACCAGTGCAAACTATAATTACCGACTCTCGGGACTAAAAAAAATGTGTCAAAGGTGACATTTCTACCATGAAGGAGCAAAGATTTACATCATTAGGAAATAAAAAAAAAAACTTTAAGATCGTCCTAAAATATGGACGGTGTTAATCCTTATTCCATATCGATGGCTGAGTGGAAGATCGACCTATCTCGGAAGCCAATTCGAAAACGCCCTATCTCAGAAAACTTTTCATGAACGCCCTACTTTAAAATTTTATTGAAAAACAACCTATTTCAGAATTTTATTGAAAAGCACTTTATCTCAGAATTTTGTTGAAGAACGCCCTATCTCAGAACTCGGTTCAAAAACGCCCTATCTCAAATGAAAATACATTGAAAATAAGCTGAGATAGGGCGTTTTTGAATCGGCAGCTGAGATAGGGCGTTATTCAACCCAATTCTCAGGTAGGGTGCTTTCCAATCAAATTCTGAAGTATGGCATTCTTGAAAAGTTTTCTGAGATAAAGCGTTGTTGAAAAAATTTCTGAGGTAGGGCGTTTTCGAACTGGCTGCCGAGATAGGTCGATCTTCCACTCAGCCATCGATATTTGGTATAAGAATTCAAAGATATAGTATTTTTTCACTAATTACGGACCCGTAGGTTCGCGCTTGATGACAACTATACACTTTGTCGACCTAATACGAATTCTCGGACTCTCAAAATAGTAATAATTTCATTGTTGGAGTTAAATTTTTTCCACCGAACGCCATTTACTTAAGTTTGAAAACATACCAGATAATGTTGCATTAACCTTGTTTACATAACCAATCCTTTCTCTTCTGCGCCAATTGGCGCCACTTGAAAATGCCAAGACAGGTTCTTTCCGGCAGGTCTTACCATCGTAGAGGAGGCCTTCTTCTACCTTTTCTACCATCAGCTGATGCGGCGTTAAACGCTTTAACGACATGGCCGACACAGTGGTGCCGCTCTATTTTAAGCCGCTGCCCCATGTGTACTTATACCGTTGTAGCTAATCATTTCATCGTCTGTGGTATTCACCGCTGCCACAGCCTGGTTGGCATGATTAGTATGATTTTTGTACGTGCTATCCACCCAAAGTAGCACTTAATCGAAATTGGATCCCCCATGGGATTTCAAGACTGGAATTATTATCGCTGTTACTGCTGGTTCCTTGGTAAACAAAAGGCTCTATTTTATTCACTTCTGTTTGCTTCCGTATCCAAATAGGAAGAGGCGTTGCAGTTTCGATACCGATTAGCTTTGCTATCTTCTCCAGTATTAGATTGATGTAGTGCCATGCTAGGTAGTTGCCTTGTCTTAATATACGTTTAGTGTGGGATGGCTCGCAGATATCCTTGCCACAGAATTGCAGTGTTACTTTACGTCATTCTATAGATAGATCTATACAGCCGTATGCAATTCAAGGTAGGTATGAAACGCGCACATACAGGCATAAAGTCAACTCCTTTTCCTCTTCTCGAGAGGGTTTTTCAAGACTTAGCATATGATGAATACCTAGACTAGGATTGAGGATTAGCCAGGTCAAAAGGCGAACGTATAAGGCCCATTCAATTCGTGACCGGTGGCCTCAGCCTTACTCGCCATATTATTGATAATGGCTTTTGAGGCATTTAAGAACATTGAAATTGCGGTTCTTGACGCATGTGACACGTGGATTAAGACCTCCCAGCTGCCATTCTTGAACTGTTCTGCTGCCAGGTCATCAGTTATACATAGCAGCTTTGTTGTTTTTCACCCGCTAAATTGCTGTTCGTACCTCATCATAGTAAAGATGTGCTTTGTCAACTCCATCGTCGTTCGACAGCTCGGGTTCGTCTTCTAATTGATTTAGTGCTCCTCAATAGAGTGGAGAAGCGTTTCACCCTTAATTTTAGGACACTATCGATATTGATCACTTGGTCGCTGTAGTTGTTCTTCGAAAGGCTAGTGCGTATCTTGTGCGCAACAAGATAATCATCCGAGTCAATGTTTGGCACTCGATTTGGACGTACGTCTGCAACATTGAAAACATATGTTCCGGCTATACCAACATGATCGATTGAGTTATTAATTTACCGATCGAGGGTCATGGGATATAAAGTTACCGGATAAATCCTTTTATAGTGGAACTTTATGCTGCATACTATCATGTTACGAGCTCCGACGTAGTCGATTAGCCACAGTCCGTTAACGGATGTTTCGATGGGGAGGTTACATCTTGCGATGGTGGGACCAACTCGACATTGAAATCACATGGCACGAATTAGATATAAAGACGGGGACACCTCTTATAAGTGTCCTCCAAGCGCTCATGGAGGATAGCTTTGGACGTCTAATCCTTCCTTTACGTCAGAGCGTGTGCGCGAATTCGGGAGATGATGAAGAACCTCGATATTATGCGGATTTCGGCGAGACGCTCGTTTCTTAATAATACGTGTATCAAAGAAGACCTGAAACAAAATCGACGTCTTTCAAAATAGTAAAGTAATAACTCTCTCGTAAATCTCATCTTATATTCGGTGGTATGCATGCTGTAATAGTACAGATATATTTGGTGTATTTAATTTTGATCTTGTGCTTTCTAGAATTTTGCAAGGGATATTGAAAAATTGTTCGTACTTCATTCCGCCCTTGTTTAAATCGTGGATACATGCCAATAATGTAATGGGCTTTAAAAACGCTTCATATCAAAATCTTAAATAATATCAATACATATCGATGGTCCTCTGCAATAAATACACAATTTAAAATAAAAACAAGTAAGAGCAGCACTGTCTTCGAGAAGTTATAACGAAAAATCTCATATCTGAACAATCAGTTGTATGGGGGCTATATGTTATAGTAGTCCGATTCTTCCAGTTCCGACAAATGATTAATACATTATAAAAATACACTCACCTACCAAATTTTATCCGGATATCTCGAAAACTGAGAGACTAGATTGCATACAAACAGACGGACAAACAGACAGACGGACAGACGGACATGGCTAAATCGACTCAGCTCGACGTTCTGATCATATAAGTATAAATTTTAATGGTTCTATCTCTTTTTATTCTGGTACTTACAAACATCGGACCAAAGTTATAATACCATTTCATGCTCATGAAAGTTATAAAAAATTCCTTACTACCTTTAAGTATCTCGTGTATCTTATCCCTGTCTAATCCATGTTTAATTCTTACATGAAACACTTAAGAGTAGCTAGGATTTTTTTTTGAATTTCGAATTGTGTCCATTTTTTTAATTTTGAAATCAAAAAATATTTAGAGGTCGCTCCAAGCGCTTAAAGTCTTCTATCTATTTTATATGGGGGAAAAACAACTATTCGTAGAAATGGTATAGAATTCTTGAAAAACAGCATTTTTAAATCGGAAAACCCTATTTTTATTTAAGAGATTCCCAATAATATTACCCAATTGTCTATTTAAACACATTTCATAAGTCCCCAAAATCCCGGAAAATGCAAAAAGTAGACCAATAAAAAATCTTTAGTTTTAAAAAATGGCCAAAAAAATATTTGGGTAGTATTATTGGAAGTCTTCTGAAGAGAACTATAGCTTCCCGGTCGAAAAGTATTGGTTCTCAAGAATTATATACCATTTCTACCAAAAGTTGTTTTTTTTGCATATAAATATCTACAGGTAAAACTTTGAGCGCTTTGACCGACCTCTTTTTTGATTTCAAAAAGAAAAAGTAAGGGATTATTTTTTTCGATATAGAAAAATCCTAGGGGGTGAGTACTAAAATTCCGACTTAACTTTGTTTGGACTACCCTAATGTACATGCATACATACGTAAACATTTTAAAAGTTAATGTTCTTTTATTTCAAATCAATAACACTAACATATAAATACTTTATCAATGCAGATTTCATTATCAAATAATAAATGTGTATTTACTATGTATATTGATTATTTCTTTGTTACGGTTCTAAGGAACATGCACTGTGCGTCCATAAGTTTGTTTTTAAAATATTCTTATCATACATTTTGGGTTCTTTTATCACCTTATCACCTCAATTATTTGGTTGCATACGAACGCATATGTATAGGTAAGTACTTAATATTAGTTCAGTATTATTTAACACTATCTATAAACAAAGGGACCATGATAACTCTTCACGCTTTTCTCTCCTCGAATTTGAATTTCAATGGAATAGCTGGCTGAAGTACGAGTTTTGGTACGAACGCGTTTTCCGTTGAATAATTAAACTCTATCACGAAATTTCGCACCAGCCGAGCCAAAGTTACTTCCAATTCTAAATCTACAATGCGCTTCCCTACACAGCTGCGTGGGCCAAAACCGAAGGGTAGAAACAGGAAAGGATTATCGAGCTGATATTTCTTGCCTTCGGTATCATTGCGTAGCCAACGTTCTGGTATGAATTTATTCGGTTCGACCACGAAGTTCTCATTGCGAAGCAACAAGTTAGAACTGACCGAAATATCGGTGCCAGCCGGTATATGATAGCCACTTAATACCACGTCGTTCGGTAGCCGACGCATTGTGCCAGAAATGATGGGATAATAGCGCATACCCTCCTTTATGCAGGCGCGCAAATAGGGCAGGTTTTGCATACTTTCAATTGTCGGTTGCGAATCCTTACTAGGCAATATACGGTTGAGCTCTTCGAAAAGTTTCGCTTGCTTGTCCGGATTTTTGGCGATGCAAAATAAAATACCCACTAACGTGGAGCTTGTCTGTAAAGGATTGTGAGTTAATTTGATTTCTTTTACTTCAAAAAAATTTGATAAAATTATGGCAGTCTTACAGTATCCACACCGGCCATCATCATATCCAACGCCATTACCACAGCGATGCGTCTATCAATGCGTAATAGTTTTTCCAACACACTCTTTTCCTTACCCACTTCCGAGGTGAATTTTCCATCTTTGTCCAATTCAATTTGTTTCAAAGCTTCATCGATATATTTGTTGCACAAATCGGTGAGTTTATCCAGTGCGTCCATAAGTTTGTAGAATTTGGGTGTTTTCACAATCTTCCAAATCGAAGGCTTAACTTCCAAGTCTTCAGAGTAGTCAAAGAAGTTGCGTATCGATTTCAAAAGAATTTTTGTTTCTGGTGCATCCCGATTTTTATGTATCATTCCTAGACGAGTGTTGAGGGCAACACCTGTTACACCTTCCAAGGTAAGACGATTCAGGTCGTCGTGGAAGTCAGCAGGTACCTCAAGTGTTTTCGGATCCCGTATGTCACGAATTCTAAATAAAATGTGTTTAATAAAAAAAATAGGTAAACATGAAGATAATCAAAACATTTTCACAACAGAGAATACCTCTCTAAAAAGTCGTTGTTTATTTCCAATAGCGTATTTAAGTAGAGCTTGGCATTACGAGGTTGCATCAAAACTGGGTTGACAGCTGTGCGCATTTTCGCCCATTCTTCGCCACCTCTATAAAGAATAAGTATGTACATATTATAGGAAGTGAATCCAATTGAGCAATGCAATTAATTGATATACGTTGTGATAAGTCCATTAACGCCTTGAAATACATCTGGACGATGCACCGTGCGATGGTAAACGAATGTCTCGAAGGAGCGTCGTTCGGGCCATATACCTTCGTTACGAAATATTATGGGATAATCGAGCGGATTGAGATCCATTATAATTTCAGGTTTGCCAAAAAGGGCGGGAAAGTGGAATATTGATCCATATTTTTTTTGCATTATCCTCGTTGCTTCAGTAAAGGTTATTTTGGAGTATTCTCCTAAGACAAAAGGGAAATTTTAATAATGTTTTAATAATACGGTTTTGTAAAATAACTCAAAAATACATATTTCGCTTCGGGATAACTATGGAAAATTTCCTATTTTGTTTTAAACAACATACCCAACGGCCCCATCGATCGAAATTTCGCCAGAGATGCTGCGAAGGTTCGAAGGCCACTAAAAAGGGTTTCACTAAAGTCTAGTTAATGGTCACTTCTACGGAAAAAATTGTGGTTACCAAGCTTATAGCCTAGGATACTGCCTACAAGAGATATGAAATTAACTTTTTTGTAAGACCAGCGGTTTTCGAGGAAATTTCATGCAAATAGTAGTAATCTATATCAGCGAAGCTCTAATGCATTTCTTTGGGTTTTTGATTTAAGGTGAATTACGAAAGTTTGTTGATTTTTTAAACGTTGCCAAATTTTTAAACTTGGACTCACATGGTTTTTGGTAAAGATTGAACCATATTTGTATACAAAAAAAAAAATAAAATAATATTAGATAACAAAAAATTAATTGTGAAAATTTGTCAATTTGTGCGCCTATAATTTGTTGACCACTGTACAATCTGTGTTCTCAAATCTGAAAAGGCACAGAAAAAATACACAAGTTACGTCAACCTCTCTCAGCATTAGATTTGGAAACCTTAACCATTTAATATAAATTGTTGACTCTTTTCTCAGTGTAGGAAAATTTATAGAAAACCGTTATGGAGCAACCCTTGTATGCTATTAAACTTGGCATTTAAATGGAAATAAATCTATGAAAAACCCATCATTAAATTACCCCGCTCGAATTTTTATGTAAAAGTACTGTTCATACAACAGTTAGTGGATAAAATATCCAGAATGTAATCAGCCATTTCTAATTTCTAATCTTGGACTTTCTGCCACTTTAAGGCCCCAAGCACATCGCAAGCTATATGGGACCGATAAAAGAAGCATAAGAGCCAACCGAGCCTTCCTTTCCGTAATAAAATGCTTAAAACACTATTCACTCGGTCAAATTTCGACAGTTATTGGGACTCTGGGTTTTAATTAATTCTCGTTCACTTTTGTAGATACCTTTTCAAGTCAATGAAATTTTGAGGCACTAAGGACCGTTTTATCAAGTAACCCGTAACTTTAAAGCTAACTTTATATTTAAAGGTTGCATTAAAATTTATAATTGTGTCTCAAGTAAAGCATGACATACGTCATAAACTTATAATAGAATGCTAACTCTAGATAAAGCTATACTTTTAATCCAACCTTTAAATGTAAAGTGAGCTTTAAACTTAAAGGTGACTTCAGAAAACGGCGCTAAATATTTTAGTGTTGCTTTATAAATAGTGGCATAAAAACGAACTTTAAGGGTGTATCCTTCTTTTCCGCCCGTTTTCTTAACAATTGGTCACCCGTCCACGCCACATCTATGCATTTCTAATGTACATTAAAAAGATTTTTCTTACCTCCTGGCATAAATCCACGAATAAGTTCATATTTGCTTGGCCCAGGAATCTCTGAAAATGGACGTGCATTTTCCAAAGCATCGGCAGTAGACACTGTTTCGCTTATCTATTTATACAAATTACAATTAAGTAGAAAATAAAGCAAAGTTAAAAAAAAATATTAAAATATGCGTATATACACCTATAGATAAAATAATAGAAACACGACAGTTTTTTCTATTTTCTTTTGTTTATTTACTATTAGTTAGTGTTTTTTTATATTTGGCTCATTATCCAACAAAACCATATATATATTCTCATTCGACCTTTGCAAAGCTTTGTAACAAACAATTAGAAGAATTCCACAAATTATTTTTTTCCTCGCAATGTAAGTATGTATGAAAAATTTTTTATATTGAAGGAAAATGCGTAGAATGTCAGCGTAAAATTTACCAAAAACCAGCGTTTTTTTATCATCTTTACACTTGCACTTTATTACACTAAAATTTAATACATATCAAAATATAACTAAAAATTCGAATTAAAGTTTGAAATTTAGATGAATATTTGTTGAACTTTTCTAAGTTTTGCACACGGTCTCAAATTTGGATTTATGTTTGATAATGAGCTATACTTTTATAAAAATTAATGAAGATTAAAAAAGCAAAAGGTAAATAGTCAAGGCGCCTTATCTTAAAGTTTCAGATATTTTACTTAAATTTATTTCATTAAATCGAGTAGAAGCACGGAAATTTTAAGAAAAAGCAATTGCTTAGTTTTTATTCATAAGGCCCATTGTCTCGTTTGTATTAATTTGGCCATAAGTATACATACAAATTGAATGTATCTATATCAGAGTTCACGGCAATAGAAGTAGAAAAAGTAGAAAGTCATACCTCAGAGAAAAACACATATAAGGGAACGTACCCATACTACGTGGCCCACTTCTTCTAATTTTTATAATAATAAATATCTAAATCCCGGGACTGGTGTAATGAAATAAAGTAAATAAATAAGAGTAAAAGTAAAAAAAGCAAAAAAATATTTTTTTTTCTTATTGATGTTTATGTCCAAAGTAGTTCGCTACAACTTAGTTGACAAGTAATGCAGAGGAAACCAGTTCTCACTAATTTTCGGCCATCGCCCTTCAAGAGTATGTACTTAGTTAGTTACGGCCAAAGCAAATAGTTACCAGTAGTCGAATGGTAGTTAGTTTTTTAGTTAGCTACAAACTAGTCCCATTTCCTGCAGGGTCCATTTAAAGTAAGAGAAAATAATAAAAACATAATGCTAAGCTCATCTATTTTGATGCTTACTGTATGTAAATAAATATGATCTACTTCAAAACGAATTAGACTATTATGCTTCTCTTGAATCTGTAACTATTTTCTTAATAAGTTAGAAATTTAGCGATTTAATGAAAATATCTAGGCTTATGAGGATAATAAAGTGTACACATGCATTTATATATGTACATACAATACCGGCCAAACCATATTTTAAGACAAACGCGGAAACAAGTTGGACGCAATAATACTGACTGAAGTGTAAGTATTCATACAAGGATCTACTACCTACTCTGTTCTAAAATCGGGTGTGACTGTTAACATAAGTATACGAATCAATTTTGCCTTAAGTCGATTCAAGTGGCTATTGTTTTTGCCCAGAAATATAGTGATTTCGGAAATGTATAAATTTGCTAAAATGCGCAATAATTGCAATACTCAAAACAACCTGTGCCTGTGGTGCCGCAGTCGCATATCGTCTCATTGACGTTGCACTCAACGAACGTTGCAGTAGATAACGCGATAACATTTTGTTTACGCAAGTTAATTTATTAATCAAACACTTTTAGAATAAATTGAATATGCAAAACTAACAAAGGAACTGCAACACTCGCTTGCCTATATGTAGAACTGAATATCTCAACGCTTGCAAACTAACTGAACTGAACAAATGCTCATAAATCGGCTTTGCATGCTATCTATTTATTGTAATATTTGTTATTCTAACGGTCGTGGAAATGCTTTGCGCTTCGTAATGTGAAAGTTTTGCGCAGAGCTTTTTTGAACAGTCAATTTAAAATTACTTTGTTTATCGGAATCAATTTGGATGGTTTATACCCTATAAGACAGAGATATTTCCATCCAATAATAATAGATTGGTGTTTCACATATTTATGTTAGTGTTTGGCACACGAAGCGGAGGGGCCTACAGTTTTACGCCGACTCCGAAAGGAGATTTTATTTTTATGAGCAGATGTTTTTCATGGCAGAAATAAACCCGGAGATTTGCCATTGTCTGTCGAGGGACGACCGCTGTTAAGAAAAAACCTTTTTCCATATTTTTTTTTTGCGATGTTGCTTTGACCAGGGCTTGAACCCAGGCGTTGCGGAGTGGAAGCATGCACTGTGAATACCAGGTATTCATGAAATTTAATCTGAGTCCCGGACTAGTCCATAAATGGTCCCGATAAAGTCTTGAACCATTTCCGAAACGACCCCGAAAAAATCCCAAAGTAGCCCCGAAACTAAACCCGAAAAAGTCTTGAGCTAATCCCGAACTGGCTCCGAAAATATCCCGAACTAGCTCCGAAAAAGTCTTAAACTATTCTCGAAGTGTGCCCGAACTATATTAACGTGCAATGTTGCTAGAACAATTGATTCGATTCGTTTTCATTTGTACTACATACTTCTGAATACATGTTGGTTTACTCGTGACGGTTCACGCAAATTTTGCCCAATACTTTTGGAAAGCCATCCGTGTACATTTTTAAAAAGAATTTTCAACTAGTAAATCTCCAACTATTTGAATTGATTCCGCGCTTAGAAGGAGGAAATTGTTGAAGTGGCTTATTTAAAAATTTCTTGTTTTTTTTGCGATCTAGATACAATACAATTTGGTTTAGATACCTACGATTGTTTTTCGAACAATTGGATCCATATTTCTTCCAGGGTACGTTAGCGATGCCCAGATATGCACATATGTGTGTATGCGAACTTTTTCCAGCCAGCCGACGGGTATTTGGCTTAATTTTAGGGCGATGTTCAATGTACGAATACAGGGTGGCTACAAAAGGGCCACGCATGCACAGGGTAAGAATTTGCAGAGTGCACACGATGATTAATATCTGTTTCCATACCGTTATTCAAACTTTTTTTTATGATGCATTTCCCACAGTTTTTTTTCAGTTTGCTTTTAACAAGATTTTAAAACTTTTAAGTTGCCCAATAACTTGGCCTTTTTTGAAGCGACAGTTTTAAAGTTTAGTATAATTTAGAGATAGTTTCAAAGCAGCTATAGAATACCGTTGCCTACATACATACAGATATAGGGGAAAAATTGCATGGACTCTGAATTGAAACAAATCGATTTCTCTACCACTTATCGCTTCCATTTGTGGTATAAAGCAGTTGCAAATTTTATGCTGGGTTAATGCAAATTTTACTCACAAACATCAGACTATTGCTTATCTTATTCACTGATTTGTGCCAGATAGTTATGACATTTTTTTCCATTGTTAAGGAGCAAAAGTATTTTTGTCCATACCTTAAAGCAGGCTTAACTGACTTTAATGATAATATTTTGAATGAAACACTTCTCGTTATATCATTAGTTCATGTGCATATAATTTTGGCAGAGTGGAATGCGTTCTAAAATGCTATCAGAAAATGGGGCAGTAATCAAATGGTTTTAAGACCACACTCAAAAAAAAGTTGTCATCAGGATGATGCTATTTAGCCGTCAACGAAAAACTTTTCAGTATCTATTTTTCCTTATTAATCATCTTATCCAAAAATTTAGGTTTCGTTGTTACATTGAAAGCAAAAAGACCATATCGATCTCAATTTGATATTGTTCAGGGTACAATTTTGTGTTTTCCTCATCAAATTAATAACAAAAATCCAATTAAATTTTTTTAAATACACCGAAAAATTATACCATTTACAGGCCTATTCTGCGTTGGGAACAAAAATTTTGTTACCGGTAAATAAAGTTCCTCGTAATTTTTAAACCCTTTTCGCATTCGGCGCCCTGGAAAATTGTGTAACCATCTCATAACTAGGTAACAAAATATTACCCGTGAAGTATGCTGCTCCAGAATTCATACAAAACTTTATAGCTGAATTGCTGAATATATTAAACTAGTGAACCCACATGGCGTCAAAACGCCAGCGTTTAATTAAATTTTTTAAACAGGTGAAACCCTATTCAAAAACCTCTAACAATATTCCTAATAATTAATCTAAACCATTTCTCAGTGCGAGAGGTCTCGCATGGTGTCGGTTTTCATTTCATCAAATTTCAAATCTCCCTCTAACTTAAAAAAATAAAACCTGTAAATCTATGTAGAATCCTAGTTCTTTTATTTGACTTCTCATTTTGGAAATTCGAAATAACGGTGCAGATGTGATGACCTTCAAAAAAAAAATAGATGGCAACTCTAATTAAAAATATTTTCAGCATATAGTTTTCTTAAAACTCTTTCGTTTGACACTAATATTTCGATATTGTATTTATGTATCTTTCGTATAAGTAAAACAAATTCGACTTTTCGAACAGGTGGCAACCCCTTTAAAAGTATTTTCAAACTAAAATTTTTAGCCTGGCATCGTTACACATATTTCAATTAACTGATGAATTAAGTTGAATTGATTTTTTTTATGCACATGGCAACTCTCCTAAATACAGTTTAGAAATAAATTATTTCCAAACCCATTTCGATTGATACCCATCTTTTGACAATCCATTTAACTTATTAAATAATTTGAGCTTAATTTTTTCAAAAAAAAACCAAATGTTCAGCTTAAAGATTTCTTAACAATCGTTCTTTTGATAACCCTATTTTAAAATTTCATGTAACTTATGTATAATTAAACGAAATACCACTTTCAAAACAGGCGGCAACCATCTTAAAAATTATTTTCTAACTAAAATTTCATATAACTGATGAATTAAATGGAAATTTATTTTTAAACACGTTGCAATCCTCCTCAATTTAGTTCTTAAATATAGGATTTTAAACCCATTTCCATTTATAACCATCAGTTAGTAACTCATTTAACTTATTAAGTAAATTTAGTTTAGCCATTTAAACTGGGGCAACCCTCAAACACATCAAAAATGTTCTAAATTGTCAAATTAAGTATTTCTTGAAGCTCTTTCATTTGACATCCATCGTTAATATTTCATATAGGTGGCAACCCTATTCAAAATATTTTTAACCTACTACCTTCTTAAACCTCTTTTGCATGACACCCATATAGCGATACCTTATTCACTTACCAAATTCCTTTAATTAAAATTGAATTAAACCATTTCGATTGATACCCATATTTAATAATTGATTTAACATTTTAATTAATTTGAACTTAATTTCTTAACAGGTGGCAACTTTTTTCGAAAAAGTAAAACCTTCTTGAACATCCACACCCTATGCCCAAACGATGTGGATGTGATGGCATTGATTATTAAATTATTTGAATGCAATTTTTTATCAGGTGGCAACTCTTTTCGAAAAAATAAAATCGAACGAACGGTGCAGATCTTTTAGGCTGCACAAAATATGCCTTCGCGTATTATATATAATAGATAATTTGGATTTAACTTTTTACACAGGTGGCAACCTTCCTCAAACTCATAAAATATATTCTCAATGTGCAAACTAAAGTTTCGTAACATTTTTTTTTGTTTTATATCGATTGAATTCAATTAGACTTTTCGAACTCTATTACAAATATGTGCAAATCTTCTTAAATCTCTTTCGCCTGACACCCATTGTTATATCTATTTTAATTACCCCATTGCCTTAATTCAAATTGAATTTGATTGTTTAAACAGATGGCAACCCTCCTACACGCAGTTAAGAAATAAAGTATTTTCAAAACTACTGCGATTGGTACCCAATTAGCAAATATTGATTTAACTATTTAAATAATTTGAACTTAATTTTTAAACAGGTGGCAGCCCTCTTCAAACACTTTAAAAATATTCTAAACGTTCCCACTAAAGATCTCTTTAGATTCATTCGCTTGACGTCCATATTTTTAGACTTCATATAAATTAGACTTTTCACACAGGTGGCAACCCTCTTCAAAATGTTTACAAACTAGTACTTAGTTAACCTTTACCATCTGGCAAAAAGACATATTTCTATTACCTAATTCCCCCAATTCAAATTTAATTTAATTTTTTTAACAGGTGGCAACCCTCATAAAATTAAGTTAAGAAACAAACAATTTCAAAACTATTTCCATTTGTGCCCAATTTGTAATAATGGGTTTTGCTTCTAAAATAATTTGAACTTAATTTTTTAAATGGTGGCAACTCTTTTCGAAAAGTTAAACCTTATTGCACAGCCAGAGCCCTTTGATTTGGCACCTCACTTTTGAAAATCGAACGAACGGTATGGATCTGATGACATTGGTTATTAAATTATTTGAATGCAATTTTTTATCAGGTGGCAACTCCTTTCGAAAAAATAAAGCTTTATTGCACATCTACAGGCCAAGCGTTTTAACTTTGCACCCCATTTTTGAAAATCGAACGAACGATCCAGATCTTTTATGCGGAACCAAAAATGCCTTCGCGTATTATTTTGAACTTAATTTCTTAACAGGTGGCAACTTTTTTCGAAAAAGTAAAACCTTTTTGAACATCCACACCCTAAGCCCTTTTATTTGTTACCCCACTTTTGAAAATCAAACGGACGGTGCGGATCTGAGGGCATTGATTAGTAAATAACTTGAGTTTAATTACTTAACAGGTGGCAACTCTTTTCGAAAAAATAAAACCTTATTGCACATCTACAGCCCAAGCGCTTTAATTTGACACCCCAAGTTTGAAGATCGAGTGAACGGTGCAGATGTTTTAGGCTGCACAAAAAATGCCTTCGCGTATTATATATAATAGATTGTTACCAAGTTAAATACTTAG